TTCACAACCAGACAACAAAATGTCTCTAAGTCTTAGTAAGTTGGGACTAGAATGCAAAAATTAAGACCCTGATAAGGCAATCCAGATGAAAATCATCTGATTTGAGATTTCCAATTATTATATGAAATAGAAAGGGAAAGCTTGATCTGCATGGAATGAGGCTTTTTAAATAATTATAATTACATATTAGACACATATTTGTACAAGAAGTTTACATTTATTAGATATTGGGGGATTAAACTTCTGAAGGCAGTTAGCCTTGGATGCAGAGACTAGTTTCAATTAAAAAAAACCCTTGAAGAAACATTTATCTCTGTCAGAAAGAAGATTAGAACAACAAAAAGGTACAAACTAGATAACCTCCAAAGAGTACCAAGAGACAAATAACGTAGCAACGGGGACAGAAACAATTTTGAAACTGAGTCACTATGACCTTGAGAAAATAAACAACTGCCATTTCACAAGTTGGAGAAGAGGGAAGCTGTTCCTGAAATTGTTAGATTTGTCACAGAATCATAGTATTAGGTTTACTTATGTATAACATTAGAAATAACTTTGTCCTGGAGATGATATTACAAATATTATCACAATTGGTAGAAATTAACATTCTTTTTAATGTTTCTGTACTAAGATCAGCAAGTGATATGAATTGCATGAGCAAATTTTGAAAAATCATTAGTATACATTACAGCTGGCAAATGTCCAGGAAAGGACATAACAGTCAGTGTTGGAATGTGGTCAATAATCATAACAGCCCAAGGACAGGTGATAGGGAGTCTGACAAATATCACATGTTGGGAGGACCTAAGGTTGACCGTGAAGTTGTCCATCGTTGATTGTATATGCACAGTATTGGATGCTTAGTTCAGATGGGAAGTGGCAAGCACTGATGTCAATATTGCATGTAACCATTATGTATTAGACATGTATTAATATGCTGTACTTTATGGGGAAAGGTTAGTGTCACTGATCTCCAATCTGAACCGTATTTAAGTGGACAACTGGTCCCCATGTGAAAACCAGATTCAGAGCAGTCTTTGGCCTCTCCAGCATGTCTGGTAAAGGAGCTCTGAATAAATATTGATTTGTGCTACAGAGCATGGGACTCAGACTCCTCTTTAAAATGCCTCTCCAACACGAACTGCTTATAATTTTTCATATTCTGTGTCCCTCCCTTCTTAAACAGGAATATTACATTAACTGTTTTCCAGTCCTCGGGGACACTCCCTGACTCCAGTGATTCCTGAAAGACACCACTAATGCCTCTACAATCTCCTCAGTTATCTCCTTCAGAATTCTGTGTATAGTCCAGGTGTTTTATCCATCTTCAGGTCTTTCAGCTACTCCTGAGTGATGGCCACTACACTCACATCTACCCCTGACCCACTTGAAGTTCTGGTATGCTACTGATATCTTGCACCATGTAAACTGCTGCAAAGTACCTTTTCAGTTCCTCCACCATTCCCCATTATTACTTCTCCAGCCTTATTTTCCAGCAGTCCAATGTCCACTCTTGCCTCTCTCTTACCCTTTATATATCTAAAAAATCTTTTGTAATCTTCTTTTAAATAACTAGCTAGCTTACTCATATTTCATCTTCTTCCCCCTTTTTGCTATTTTACTCATCTTCTGCAGGTTTTTAAAGGCTTCCCAATCCTCTGGCTTCCTTCTTATCCTAACCACATTGTTGATTTTTCTTTTGTTCCTATGCTGTCCCTGACTTCCCTTGTCAGCCATAGTTGCCACATCCTTTCTTAGTATGTTTCTTCTTCCTTGGGATGAATTTCTGCTCCACCTTCTGAATTACCTGCAGAAACCCCTGCCATTGCTGCTCCACTGTCTTCCCCGCTAGGCTCCCCTAACAATCAACTTTGGCCAGCTCCTCACACATGTCTTTGTATGTAACCTTACTAAATTACAATGCCATTATATCTGATTCCACCTTCTCCCTGTCAAACTGCAGGGTCAATTCTACAATATTATGTTCACTGCCCCTAGGGCTTCCTTCACCTTAAGCTCCCTAATAAGTCTACCTCATTACACGTCACTAAATCCGGGATTTTCAGTTCCCTAGTCGGGGGCTCTACCATAAGCTATTCCATGAAACTGTCCTGTAGACATTCCCAGTCCACCTCCGTATTGTAGTCCTCCATGATTATTGTAACAGTGCCTTTCTTACATGCCTCTTCTATCTCCTGATTACTGCTAGGAGGACTGTACATAACTGCCATCAGGGTCTTTTCTCTTTTGCTGTTTCTCAACTCTATTCATGAGGATTCTCTGCTTTCTGACTCAATATCATTTCTTGCTATTGATTTAATTTCATTTCTCACTAACAAGGCAACCCCACCCCTCTTGCTTCCACCTGTCCTTTCGATAGAACACATATCCTTGGATATTTAGCTCCCAGCTCTGATCCCGTGGCAGCCACGTCTGAGGTCCCCACAACATCATACCCGCCAATTTCAATCTGCATTACAAGCTCATTTATCTTGTTCCATATGCTCCATGCATTTAAGTACAACACTATCAGACCTGTGTTAACTGCTCCCCCTCTTATAGATGCTCTCTTAGCTTCTGTGCCTAAACTTAAATTCCTTACCCTTTCCATAATTTCTGTCCTATTACTTGTTCTGGAAACTTCAATAACCTTTGCTGAGCCCTCCCTCACTTTTGGAACTCTCGATCCTGGGCACTGAGAACAGTGTCTATTTTCATGACTATACTATCCCTGATTACAACCACATTTCTCTTTTCTTCCCCCTCTTGAATGGCTCCCTGTACCATGGTGCTGTGGCCAGTTTGTTCTTCCTCCCTCTAGCCCCTGCACTCATCCACACAGGGAGCAAGAATCTCTAACCTGTTAGACAAGCTCAAAGGCTGAGGCTCTTTCAGCATTACCACCTGGATCCCTCTACTTGCCTCACAAATTCACCCTCATTGCCTTCTATCCCTGATCACTGACCAAATTGAAGGTAGTTAATTTAAGGAGTATGAATCTGTCTACCTGTGCTTTAGAAAGATTCAAGGACTGTTCTTCTCCCCACTTTTTCAGAGACAGCTTTCTGAGAGAAAAAATAAATGCCTCATCTGTTTTAACTGGGTGACTCCTGGTTTTTATACAGTGACCTTTCAATCTAGATTCTCCCATAAGTGGACACATTCTCTCTGCATATACCCTGTCAAGACCCTTCAGGATTTTATATGATTCAATCAAGTCCGGCCTAACTCTTCTGAACTCCAGTAGGCACAGGAGTTCTGTAGCTTGTCTAACCTTCCCTCATAAGTCAACCTGCCCATTCTAGGTAGTGGTTTCTCTGAACTGTCTCCAACAGATGGATATCCTTCCTTAAATAAAGTGACCAATACTATGCCTAATACTATAATTAATAATGTATGGTAGTCCATCCCTTGGAATTTTCTTGTGTGGATTATAATTATTCTGCATATTCTGAAGTATCCCCTTAAGTGTCTGCAGCAGCATTTCTATTGACCTCTCCTTTAACCCAGATAGACAATTCACTTTAGCCAGCTCTGTTCTCATGTCCTCAATATTGCCCCTAATTACATTAAAAAAAATCTCAGATCCATTGCTCTCTCCCCCTCAAATTAAATGTAAAATTCAATGTTATTATGTTCACTGCTACCTGAGTTGTGGGTTTGGGAGGGGGGTCTTTAATATGAGATAAAACAAGATCTTGCATTGACTGCTGACTAGTTGGCTCCAGAATGTACTGTTCTATAAAACTATCCTGAAAACATTCTATGAGCTCTTCCTCTCAGCTGCCTTTACCCATTTGACTTCACCAGTTAATATGTAGATTAAAATTTCCCATGACTATTGTTGTGCCATTCTGACCAGTTCTTATTACTTTTCCTTTGTACCCAACCCTGCGTTGTTACTGTCGGGAGCCTGTACATCAATCCTAATGGTGTCTTCCAGCCTTTATCCTTTCTCATTTCTACCCAACCTATTTCCAAATTGTTGTTTCCTGACCTTTGCTCATCTGTCCATATTGTGCTAATAATTAACTAACAGATCATCCCACCCCCTTCACCTTTTCCTACTTGCCTGTAATTCTTGAATGTTCTGTACCCTTCAAGATTCAGGGCCCAATCCATGTTGTACCAGATTGTCCTTATTCATTCATATTTGCACTCTCAGTTCATCTGTTTTGTTCCTGCCTGCATCAGATACAGAGCCTTTCTCATTTTACTCTCTTTGGGCATTTTCATCTGACCTGTTGGTTGACTGTTCGATTCATATTCTCTATTTCCTGCCTTGTATGCACCTGTGCTGGATTTGCTCAATTTCTTTGATTCCTTTGGTGGTTGTCACTGCTGCCTCAGCCTATCTACGATAGTGTGAAGAGGATGTATAGTGTTGATATTTCCAATAATTTTTCAAAAGGCTAAACTGTTCACCTGTGAACTGAGGGCCATTATTGCCAGTCACAATGTATGGTATGCCATAGCAGCTGAAATATTCCAGAATATAGAATAGAATACAACATCCTTTATTGTCACGTGTACTCAAGTACAGAAGTACAAGAGTACACTGAGAAGTTCACAATGTTGCCTCACATGGCACCATCTTAGGTGGTCATGCTTTCTGGAATTCAGCAATCTCTCTGGTAGATGTTGATCAGCTGATCCACCTCCGAGAAAGCAGAATAATAGTCCACTGTGATAGGATAATCAGTTCCTATGAGAGTGAAGGTTTCTGCTATCAACTCTATTCGTGGTCTCCCTGGGATATTATGTGCCAGCAGCAGCTCCATAAATTAGCAGAGCATCCATTATAGCTTCCAAACAGGAAGATCACTAGCTGTCTTATGTTGGCTGCATTGTCATGCCTCATGCGGTAGAGCACTGGAAACCCAAGCCCCTCCATTCCTAGAGGCTTTACAAAAGTTGAAGATTTTATCAAAGTACACAAAGTCCCCAATATGCCTGTCTTTGTGAACCCAAGTTAACAAAAAACACAGACCAGATTTCAGTGCTTAACCAGAATTGCTATTTATTACAAATGGATCCTAGCTATAGGTAAGCAATTATAAATTTTTGACTTATAACTCTACTAGTTAAAACTCTAACCCCCTTTATGAAACTCTCCTACACACTCATATGACAGACAGGGACAGACACAAAAATATTGGAGTTCATGGTGGGAGTAGAAACTGGGAAGGCAGGTCCATGGATCCTGTTCACATGCTTTGCTGAGATGATCCATTTTGCTTTCCTGGACTTGTTGTTCTTCAATTTCTCTTCTCCAGATGGTTTTCATTTGCTTGAAGGAAACACAGCAACTGGTTCACAAATTATGAAGTTTCAGACTTATTGGTTAAAAGCAACAACTTACAGCAATTGATGAGGAAAAATAAATGGGCTTTCTTCAGGTATTTTTTACTGCACAGAGACACACCACCTCACACTCTGGATGTCCATCTGTTTCTGGCAATATTGTTCACACTCACAAGCTACTCAGGAGACAATCACATGGTTGTTATAAAGTCATAGAGTCATATAGCATGGAAACAAACTCTTCAGTCTGACCAGTCCATGCTGACCATAATCCCAAAATGAACTTGACCCACTTGCCTGTGTTTGGCCGATATCCCTCCAAGCCTTTCCTATTCATGTACCTATCCAAATGTCTTTTAAATGTTGTAACTGTACCCGCATCCACCACTTCCTCTGGAAGTTCATTCCATACACTGAAGTGTAAAAAGGTTGTCCCTCATGTCTTTTTTAAATCTTTCCCCTCTCACCTTAAAAATATGCCCCGTTGTCTTGAAATCCCCCATCTTAGGGAAAAGACACCTACCATTAACCCCATATATACCCCTTATGATTTTATAAACCTCTATAAGGTCGCCCCTCAACCTCCTACACTCCAATGGAAAAAAGTCCCAGCCTATCCAGCCTCTCCTCATAACTCAAACCCTCCATTCCCAGCAACATCCTGGTAAATTTTTTCTGAGCCCACTCCAGCTTGACAATATAACAGGCAAACAGAACTGTACATAGTATTCCAGAAGAGGCCTTACCAATGTCCTGTAAAACCTCAACGTGAAGTCCCAGTGTTGCCAGGCTGATGGCCTTGATATGTGGGGTGGTGACTAGTTGTTCCTTGCTGCCAGCCAGATTTCACTTTGTACTCATCCCCACACACCACAAAGGGCCAGCCTGTCTGCTTCCAGGCCTCAGGCCACTCCAATAAGACTCATTTTGTAAAACAGGAACAAAAACAAAGTTTCTGGAAAAGCTCAGCAGGTCTGGCAGCATCTGTGGAGGAGATAGTGGCCAGGAAAGACAAGGTAACCAGTGACAGCAGCAGAGTCTGGGTGGAAGTTAAAGGCAATGACTTTGGAAGCAAAGAATTATTTGTCATGTTTTGTTTTAAAAGTCACTGTGTGAGGAGGACCTGGATATTTCATTTGGTTAAATATAAGTTATTCTGATTAATGTTTAACTGGGGAAACTATGACTTGTCCAGCTTTGTGCTTCAGGAGAGCAGACAAAAAGCATACAGCCAGTACAGAGGTCAGGCATTTTCATCTTCATCTACAGCCCCCACTCCCCATGCAGTTCTTGGGCTGTTCACAGATGTCAAGGCACAAGTACTAATTGTTGCAATATTTCTGATAAAATGTGCTGTACAGGCTAATTTGCCAGACATTCCACTGGCTGGTTAGGACTTGCTGTACTAGCAGTTTTACCAGTCCAAAAACTCCCAAGTAAGCAATAATATCTTGTTAAAGTAGATAAATATTTAGAGCAACAATATGCATCTACATCGTGTCTTCAGTAATGTAATGCCTCAGGGCATTTTTGAGGCATATTACAAATAAAAATTTGACAAGAAGCCATGCAAAGAAATGTTAAAACAAGTGACTTGGCCACTGAACTAAGGTTTAAGGAGTGATTTATGGAGGAGGGAGACATACCAAGAGGCAGAGAGATTACAGTAGGAGATTCCAAAACATAAATCCGGAGCAGCTTGAAGTTCAATGACATTAACAACTGAAGACAGTGCCGCACCTGAGGGCAGAATTGGAGCTGCACAGATATCCTGGAAGTTGTGGGAAGTTCTGAAAGACGTTCTCGAGATAAGGAGTGGAAAGAACTTGCAGGGATTTCAAACCAAGCGTGAGAATTTCAAAATCAAGACATTACCAGACTCTGAATCAGTTTAGGATCTGAGCACAGGGATGATGGGCGAGTGAGTCTTTGTTCAAGTTAAATGTAGGAAGTAGCATTTCAGAAGGTAGGTAGAGGATGGGGACACAATCAGGAGATCGGTGAAGCATTCAAATGTAGAGGTAACCTAGACATGGAAGGGGGTCTCAGTCATAGGTGAGCTGAGGCAAGGATGGAGATGGTTGATATTACAGAGATGGAAACACGCAGTTTTGGAGACCATGCAGGAAATTTACCTCACCACCACCTTCGCAGGGGCAACTAGGGATAGCCAATAAATGCTGGCCCAGCCAGTGATGGTCACCTTGCATGAACATATAAAATACGAAGGGTGAAATTTTCCAGACTTGTCCAAGGTGGAATGTTAGGATAATTTACGGGTCAAAAAACAGGAGAGTGAGGGAGTAGACTTGAGGCTTCTATCTCAACCATAATGTCAAAGATAGTATTTCCAATTATAAGGATGGTACCAGGGAGTACAAGGACTTAGCTGCCCTTAGACTTTGAGGCTGTAGCAATCATTGGAAAGGAAAGGGAAGCTCATTTGCCACTCATACCCATCCTCCATGTTCACACTGGGGAGGCCCAGCCTTGGGAGATGAGGGGCTTCAGCAACCAAAGGACAGGAGAAAGTAGACATTCTGTTTCAACCTGTCGGACATGGACAAAAGTGGCCAAAGCATCAATGGGAGATGTGTGGTCACTCAATCTGAAGTCATTGGCCTGGGGATCCAGGTCCAGGCAGGCAGTAGAGAGGGTGTCAAATCACTCACTGTACCCTGATTTGCCCAGCATTCTACAAAGCACACCTCAGGACAACACAGCTTGCAGTTCCACTCATTTTTCACACCTCAGGCACCTCATATTTCCATCGCATCAGCCAACATTTCCACTCTCTGTCACTCTACAGCCCTCCCACATGTGACTATAGTGACCCTCCACAAGTGTCATCCTTCTCTCCTTGCTCTGCATAAGCTACTTCATAAGTTTCTGTTTCTTGCCCTGCCAGGGGAAGAGAACACAAAACTTGGCTAAAGACAAAGGTCCTTGAGTTTGGGTGAGGTGAAACTGGACTGGGATGAGATGAAGTTGGGGGAAGATGAAGGTGCAGGGTGCGGGTGGTATGGGCCAGTAGTCCTCCAGTTACAGGAACCTTGGTGACCACTAGCACTGTGAAAGACATCCAGGTAGCTGCACCAATGACCCTATGTTCAAGACCTGAGCTTTCAAAGGCACTCACACAGCTCAAGAGAGGCGACCTTCTGCTTGTGGACCTGGTGTCAGGAGTCTCCCCTCCACTTACTCTAGCCTGCACAGGGCTGTGCAATCAGACTGAAGAACACTGCCAGGTCTTGTTTGTATGGCTCCGGGGTGGGGGTGGGTGTTGGGGTGCTGCTGATGATGTTACCTTGCCTCTTGGAGATAGGAGATGTGGTGATAATGTCACCAGATTAGTAATCCGGAACCCCAGGCTAATACTCTGGGCGCATCAGTATGAATCCCATAATGGCACTTGATGAAATTCAAATTCATTTGGAATTAACAATAAAGCTCATCTGATGGTGACCATCGAACCTTTGTCAATTGTAAAAACCCATTTGATTAACATATCTTTTTAGGGAAATAAATATGCTGTCCTTACCCAATTTGGTATATATATGACTCCAGAACCAGAGCAATGTGGTTGCCACTTAAAGACCCTCTGAAATGGCCCTCGACAAGCACTCAGTTCAAGGGAAATTAGGGATAGACACCAAACACTAGCTTTGCTGATGACACTAACATCCCATGTCAGAATGTTAAAAAAAAAGTCAGCTGCATAAGTTGCTTGTGTGCCATGGTGCTGGTTCACAGTGAAGACGTGAAGGTAAGTGAAATGCTGAGTGAATTGTCAGCCTGTAAGAAGTTGGAAATCAACTATCAAGGCAAGGATAGCATTCCGTGGGAGAATAAGTGCCTGGCACAGCAGCTTGTCAGCTGACTAGATCTGAAGCTTTTCAGTTTCACTGATGAAAGCCTCTACAGCTTGTCAGTTACATTGAAGGTGCTCCTCCTAAAGTGCAGCAGCTTCAGTGATCCTGACAAGTTGCTCACAGCTTGGGACCAGATGCACTGGTTGGAAAAACCAGATTTGCGGATGAAAGTAGTTCTTATTAGGGGTCAGTTTGTATTTTAAGTGGATTCATGGCCAACTCAAGTGGGTTTCTCCTTTTCTTTTAATTCCATACCAATGAAACCTGGAAGGGAGAATGCTGGGAGCCAAACTCAAGGTCACTTCGAGCAGATTTAACTCCCTTGTCTGGAAAAATTCACTTACACCTCCAAGGCAGATGCCAGGACAATACAACTGCTTTTGGGGAGGAGTTCCTCCTATTCAGGACTAAATTAGAAGTAGCAAATCAGGCAATTGGAATACCTAATTTAAATCATATTAACATTCATTACCAAGCAATATAGTTTACATTAATAATCTCTGATCATTTCACTGCAAACCTGGCAACTTTCAAACTGACTGCTGTTTTTTATAACATGTTCATTCATGGGGTGTGGATGTCACTGGCTGGTCCAACATTTATTACCCAAACCTAGTTGCCTTTGAGAAGTGGCGGTGAACTGTCTTCTTGGACTGCTGCAGTCCACTTGGTGTCAGTCGACCCACAATATAGTTAGTGAGGGATTTGATCCAACGACACTGAAGGAACAGCAAGATACTTAAAAGTCAGGAAGTTGTGAAGCTTAGAGGGAACTTGCAGGGGGTGGTGTTTCCATGTATCTGCTGTCCTTGGCTTCTAGATGGAAGTGGTTGTGGGTTTGGAAGGTGCTGTCCAAGAAGTAGCTTTGGTGAATTTCTGTAGTGCATCTTGTAGATAGTACACACTGCTGCTACTGAGCGTCAGTGATGGAAGGAGTGGATGTCTGTATATGTAGTGCCAATCAAGTGGGCTGCTTTGTCCTGGATTGTGTCAAGCTCCTTGAGTGCTGTTGGAGTTGTACTCATCCGGGCAAGTGGGGAGTATTCCATACCACTCCTGACTTGTGCCTTGTAGATGGTGGACAGACTTTGGAGAGTCAAAAACAGAGTTACTC